AGTGAGTGACCAAGTTCCGATGTCTCCTCTGACGAGTATTCGGTCATTGACATCTAAATCTACTGCATTCCTTTCGGTCTCATGGGATTACCGGAATCGCGTTATCGTTCAGCGAGCGACGACGTCCACAGAGCGCCCGAGTAAATTCTCCAACGCGCCCATGATTTCCGCATGTTCCCCTACGTAGACGGCAAGTGGTCCCCTTCTGTGGACAACTGTGTCCTCTAGAATCGTAGTATTTGTGGAACGAAAAAAGCATTATAGAAGAGATCACGAGAAGCAGGGTCAGCCTTACACCACATCGTTCTTAATGACACCGTTCACGGTTGCCCTAAAATGTTCCCCGTTTTTGGTAGCCAGGTGCGCCATCGGCGAGAGTGTACACGTTTGGGACTTGAAAGTGCGCGATAAAGGCGCCAAAAATGCGCTACTTGCTCTTGTTGGGGTGTGCGTGCCCCGCCCCCATGGTTGCATGGTGCGGCTAATTACCGTGCCGCTGTCTGCAACGTCGTCGCCTAGTTTTATGTGCTCTCTGAGGAGTCGACTTTTGCTGTCCTCCCAGGTAATGCGCATGCAACCTGAAGAGACATATTTTACAAGGTTATATGGGTTTGGCGCTGCTTCAATTCACCAATGATACAACTGCAATGGTGCAGTAGCTCGTCAGTTCACTCCCAAGGTTGCAGAAGAAGTTTTGTCAAGCTTCCCTCAATTTTTCAAGTTTAATCAATGGCGTCCAATGCTATAGGACACGGAGAACTGGCTATAAATCAAGGAATATCGAGGGATGCACATGACTGGCGGTATCGATTTTCTGTCATGAAACCAGCAAGTACGGAAAACTCGTCCCACCAAACACGCTCTGTTCGCCTGTTTCCTTCGCATTTTTCTTCACTATCAAGACTCAGAAACAATCAGAGACGACTGACTTTCGTTTTTCAACCTCTTTACCAACAAGTTGTAATCGTGGGGTTTTCAAGAGATACTGCGATTGTTACAGTAATCAGCAATGAGGACTCACTTTGTGGGATGAAAGCCATGGTGAGCTACTGCGTCGAAGTGTGTACTCAATGATGGGAAGAAGATTTGATTCCAAGTAAGAAATTGCATCATCTCCGTCACAGGTTTCCTGAAAAATGGAGAAATAATGGATGGAAAATACCGAAAAGCTTGATCAATGAAGATATTCTCCTCTATCAGGGGGCGTAAGGCAAACGGTCTGCCCTAGGCTGGAAGTACCATCTATGCTGATCGTATAGAGCCGCTTTGTTGGAAGAGTCAGGCCTTCTTTGGTGCGTACCCCTTTTTTTCAACGCTCGAAAAAAGAGGTGCACCAACCAGGAGTGCACAAGGATTGTCTCCGCCCACACGATGAGCGTGAAACGCGCTCCCAATGAGACCGGGACTGCGAACGGTGATAAAAATTGGAGGTTCTGGTTATTCACGAAACGAAATTGTTTCACTCACATCACATTCATGGTCCTCTCGATGATCGAGATGATCCAACCAGTTTTTTATTCGAATTCTTGCCTCGTACGTTTTCTCGGCAATCATATCCACCTCGGAATCATCACCGTACTTTTGTCCGCTGAGCTCTGCAACGATTATCTTCCGAATAGTTCCTCGTCCAGTTCAAGAGACATGCTCACAAATTCAGACGATGGAAAAGGGTTATAAACTCCCCTCCCCTCGCCCCTCCCGTGCACTCACTGCCACGAGGTACACTTTCTGATGGGCTGATTGTCTCTGGATCCCAAA